AAAGATGTTTTTTAGCAGAAAGCTTTTTGCACCATCATAAAAGTAAGGTGCGAAACCAGAAAATGGATCACACAGGAAGGGCTCTTCTCCATTTCAATTTCTAATTATTTGAGATATCAGGGGAACATTACCAAAGGAACTCTTTACTTACCTAAGCAGAGCTGACAGATAGTTCACAGGCTTAGCAAGACCCGAGGAAGACAAGCCTGTTATATAAACTGTCTTCCTTTCCTGTAAACTTCTTCAAAGTCCCAAAATAATATCCAACTCAAGAATAATTTGAAAAAAAATAAAAAATAAATAAAAAAATAAAAAAGAATAATTTGAGTACCCTAACTATAGCTAGTACCGTGTCTGGCATTGGGGAGAAAGACAAAAAAAAAGAAGGTAGATTTCTGAGAAACTCTAATGTAAAGACACAAGATTTATTTAAAAGAACAAACTAGAAAATGATCCCAAGACAGGATATGGTGGGTGGATTGCAGGAGTACAGTTACTAAGACAGAAAATGATATGAGAATAATGAAATCAACTGATTAAAGTTTTTGAATGTCACACCAAAATTTTTTCATTTAAATCCCTTGAAGACTATTTTATCTGTATCCTACACATCAAAAATAATGTGTGGGCTCATTCATTATGCACACTTGAATTATTCCTAGTTATCTTCTTGATCAATCAGACTTAATATAGGTAAAGTCAAGTCTGCATATATTAATGGTCTACCTAGTTATATCAAGAGATGTTTTTTGAGGGTGCTGGTGAGATGGCTCAGTGGTCTAAAGCACCTACTTAGAACAAGCTTAGCAAAGCACAGGGACCGCGGTTCAATCCCCCAGCACCACATGCCAGCCAGCCCCGCCCCCTGGTGGGCTGAGCTGGCCACACACACACACACACATAAATAAATAAAATTTTTTAAAAAGAGATGTTTTTTGAGTTATTAACTTCTATGATACCTTCTCAAATAATTAGAGACACACCTCAAACATCCCCAACAGTCCTGAGCAAATTCTTATTGACCTATTTATGGTTTAGGATATCACTTGGGAAAATGAATTGAATGAAACACTACCTTCATTTGTCTCCCTCCCAAAGCAATTTTCCAAGGACTAAAAGATATCTAATACTTAGGTAGGCTTGGTGGAGCACACATATAATCCCATGTTTTCAAAACATTGTAAAAGGGGCGTTAGTAGGGAACACTGCTCACACTAAGGCCCTGGTTTACTCCCCAGTACCACAAAAGAAAAATAAATCTAATACTTATCACTGTGTCTAACAGAGCAGACTTTTTACTTATTGAACTGGATTATTAAATTACACCAATGCATTAGCCACACTCATCTCTGTCATGGTTTGGGAGACTTTGATCATAGTTCTTAAAGGATCCCAACGGAAAAAACAACTAGAAAATCTCTCTGTCTTTTCCATCAATTTAACTGAGTGGGAGAGAGGGCTTTTATTAACTGTTAAGTTTTTCTTCAGAAGCAGTCACCAGAATTTTCTGTCTGATGGCAAATGAAATCCACTTTTAGTCTTTTTACATGGAAAAGATAAGGATTTGGTTGGGTTTTTTTTTATCATTGTTATTCTTCCTGAGGCTGCCTACCATGTTCTTGACCCTGGAGAAACAATCACAACGGGACCAATTTCTCCAGAGAATGATTCACAGAGGTTTTCTTTGTTTTGGGTTTTTTTTTTTGCTTTTTTTTTTTTGTTGTTGTTGTTGTTGTTTTTTGTGGAACTGGGGATTAAACTCAGGCCCTTGTGCTTGCCAGGGAAGCGCTTATTCCATTGAGCCATCTCCCCAGCCCTGATTCACAGGTATTTTTAATTTTATTGTATACATTTTCTATTGTCAAATTCAGAGACTAATAAAGTGTCTCTAGCCTGTAAGAGTATCTCCTTCAAGCATACAGATAAATCTATAGGTACTTTGCTGCTCCAGTTAAAGACAGTTGCAAGTCCAAAAAGTGACATCAAACTCACTTATTATCATTAGCAACTGTGTCCCCACTTGCAAGACTTTTCTAAAATGTTCTTTGCAGAACTTTACTGATCTCATTATTTCTTACTTTTTTACTCATTACTTTTTATCTTCATTACTCTAATTTCCTTCTGCATCCTGTCTAAAAGGTTTTTATACTGAGATATGACATACACACATGTAAGCGGGACTTCTAAGTCTCTTCTTAAATCATACCTGAGAGCCCAATCCCATCATGTCATAGGTGTGGCTAGGCTTACTTTTGCCTAACTGCTTGACTTTATACAATGAAGTGACTGACAGCTCTGCTTACTAGGTCTCATAACATCTTCCTGCAAATTTATGTTCATCAACTTGTCTTCAATCCTTGCAGATAACACCAGTAAGCAACCTGAATGTATTACCCATTGGATGGTGCATGCTTTATCTTTCTTCCTCTTCATCCAAGAGCTACTATAACAGCAGCTGTTTGTGTTGAAAAACTAAAATATAAAAATATGACCTATGTGGCCAAATTCCACAAGGCTGTTTACTTCCTTATTTATGAATTAGAATCTGTCAGCACAACTCAGAATTTTGACTCTCAGCAAATACTGGAATTAAATGTCCCTACAAAGCCAGCAGAGGGTGCACCAGGGCACTAGAAATTTTACCCAAGATGTAGCAGTATTAATTTAACTAATAGCCACTCAACTTTTCCTTTATTCACTTATTCAGTACAGTACTTACTCATTATACACCAAAACTAGTATCTTCAACACAAGCATTAGTTCAATCTGGGCTCATACTGCAAGTCTCCTAAAAGTGAAGCTCAGGATGACTAAGAAATACAGTTAACATTTAGTCTGTTCAAATCATAGGTAAAGTAGAACAAAATAACAAAGACCAGAACCCTCTACTTTGCTGAAGTTCTACCTTATTCCCTCCTCTCCAAGAAAAAAAGCCTCATGGGGCCGGGGAGATGGCTCAGTGGAATAAGCACTTGCCTGTTAAGTGCAAGGGTCTGAGTTCAATCCTCAGTTCCGGAAAAAAAAAAAAGAAAGAAAGAAAAAGAAAAAAAGCCTCAGTAGATAGTACACTGTAGGGGAACGAACAGTGAACTGGGAGTTAGAAGAATAATTTCATCCTAGCGTCAACCCTATTATCTTGGGAAAGTCACTTCCCCTACAAAGTCCTTGCATTTTCCAAGGAAATCAATGAAATGGACTCAGATGACCCCTCACAACTCTTAAAAAAAAAAAAGCTCGTATTCAAAGTTCAAATCAACAAATGTATAGGGCCAGTATTTGTGCTTACAATGCTCAAAAAGAATAAAACAAAGAATAAAGTATGAAAGGTGTGCTTAAACCTAGATAGAAGCATTTCAGGGCTACACAAAAGGGAGGCAACTGCAAGCCTTTACAGACCTGTGAGAGTCCCATACCATCACAGGAGTCCTAGAGTACAGCTGTCCTGCTAATCTTGAGTCCACATACATGTCTATGTCCATTCGGAATTCCATCAATTGATTAAACAAGTTGAATTCCTTCATCCTTTCACAGAATATCAATATTCAGCTGCTAAGTATTTCAAGTGGGCATTGGGGGGTAGATAAATAGGGGAACCAAAATCATAGTTAACTGTCGTTTAGCTACAGTGTTTAAAGCTTCAAATATGAGAAGCATGTCTGTTGACTCTTCTTTGACAAGCAGTTGTATAAGTTGGAGGGTGCTAGCTAGACATTTTAAGGCTCAGGGCAACTTTATCATGTATGCTGTAAAGAAAAGTATCAATCCTAACATTACAGCATTGTCCATGAATGTAATGCCTCGATCCAGTGTCCAGCTTTCGATGGAATGGTACTTCAGTGGTCACAGTAGCACAAATGAAGTTTGAAAGTTATGACAATGACTCTGGATGTAGCAATAAATGTAAGTCTCAGGTCCCTCACCTCAAGAAACTCGCTTGCACAACTTGCCCTCCCCTCCAAGAGGCGCAAGTTCAAGCTCATCCTCCTTCAACCACCTCAAAAGATTCTATGGATGCTTCTGAGTTTCACATGTTAGACAAAATATGGCAATCAGAAACTTTCACTGAGCACAAAACTTTCACTAAGTTCACTAATTTTATTAGAATAAAGAGCTAGAAAAAAGTAGGAAGCAAACACCAAAGCAAATAGTTTGCTAATAAATGTACAGACACCCCTTATATTAAAAAAAAATCTTCTCTTGTGAGACAGTTCCTGAGTATTCCATTGATAGACTCTGGTTCTTCAGCTAGCACTAATGAACATATTTCACACCTTACCACCAGAAAGCCTCCAGTAGAAGCGACATGGTATTATTTCCATAATTTTTTAAAAACTTGCTCTGCAGAAGTTGCCTGGCAAGCCAGCATATTTTCATACCAAAATTCCTCAGGGGCACCTATCTTCACTAGAACACCTAGGACAATCTGTCTCCAATCGCAGGTGAGTGTGAACAAGCTCACGTGGCGGTCAGTGCGCAAAGACCCCACGTTCAAAGTACGGTGAAAAGTTGCTTAAACGGGCTGGGAGCAGTTATTATAGCTGTTTACAGCTCAGACTCCAAAAGACAGCCTGCTGCTGCTGGCATCAGCTCTGAACACGAAAAAACAAGCACCGCGAGCACAGAACTTCAGCAGGAGCAGAAGGGCCAAAGTGCTCCCCGTTAGTCTTCCAGGGGGGCACCGCGGGCACCTCCTCAACGGGCTGGGGCGGGAGCGTCGCCAACTTTTCCAGAGGCACCGCACAGCCGGGGGCGGCGGGAGTAGGCTAGAGTTTCCAAGTCAAGAAGACCTGAAAGAGTCTGGGCGAGCTAAGCCAGGGACTGAGGACAACCTGCCCCGGACAACCTCCCCCTGCTTACTTGCCCCCTCCCTGGCCCTGCACTCCAACTTGGCGCCAAGTGGCAGAGCAGCCCCGGGCCCTGCAGCGGAGGGCCCCCGCCCTACCCACCTACCCACCGGGGGAGGGGGCCTCGGCCGCCGCCGCCCCTGCTAGGTGACTCACCTGGTGCAGGTCCTGAGAGTCAGGGGGGAGTGTAGTTTCTCCCCGTTCCAACGGCTGCCGCTGCGGCGACGGCTGCCCGATGTGGAGGGTGATGGGACCGTCAGGTTCGAGGCCACCGGGGTTGCTCAGCGTGCCAGAGATACCGTGAGTGCCCGGAGCGCCGAGGCGGGACTCAGCTCCCCGTTCCCGCCGCAACTCGGACCGCAATTCTAGGTAGCAGCACAAAGTCAGCAGGTGGAGGGCCAGCGAAAGGCCGAAGAAACCCAGGAAGAGCCGGCAGCTGTTCCCTTCGGCCGCCCGGGCAGGGGCCCCGCGACAGCCGCAGCCCTGGCTCCCTCGTTCCCCTGGCGCTGCCGCAGGCAGGGGTTCCCTGCGCTCCACCTCCGGGTAGCCCATGGCCTCCGGAGACACCCACTCTCTCAGGCCCGGGAGCCGCTGCTTCTGCCTCCGCCGTTCACGACCCCTGACAGGCAGCTACTGTTCTGCCATCGGCTGGGGGCTGCAGGGACCCGTTCCTGAGCGACGGTGGCTGGGCGGGACGCAACAGGGAGCAGCCGCATGTGCAGCTCCACTCCGAGGGGTGGGCAAGGGAGGAGGAGGGGCAGGAGAGAGGGGCGGCTCGGCCCGCGAGGGAATGAGGGAGGAGGTCCCTCCGACCCCGCCCCACCCCTCCAGGGGCTGCGGGGACGCCCAACCAGTGGGCCGCCGAGCCTCAGCGCCCCGCCCCCTATCGTTCGGCCCGGGCCTCCCGCCGCGGGGCGGGGCCTGGGGGCGTGAGGGTTCCTCTCCGCCTGGCAGCCCCACCCAGCTCTTCCCGTTTGCCCAGTTCTAGTTGGTGTCTGCCAGTGTCCTTCATCTCCAGACTCCGCCCCAGTTTAACCCTTCTGTGCCAGTACGGGGGAGGGAAGGAGGGGGAGGCTAAGAAGAATTTGGGAACCTTGGAAAGAAAGTGGAGCAAAGAAAAGGAGGCAGAAACTAGCATTAATAGAAATGTTTGCAATTAACTGCAGTTGTTAATAACATCATCCAGTACTTATCTGTTGCTTTCAATCTTCAAAGCATTTAGCAGACGTTAAACTAATTAAAACAGTTCTGGGTTTGGAATGAAACCATGCCTGCTGTGTTTGCAATCCAATGGCTCGCCAAAAGAAAAGGAGACCTAGGATCCTGGGAGCCAACGGGACTGGGAATCAAGCAAGCCTCACTCCTGGAGTGAGTCTGGGGGCACCGTGGAGAAGGCAACCCCCGCCAAGTGGAATTGACGTTGCCTTCTGAAGTTTAACGCTCTTCTAGGGTTTTTGACATATTAATTAATTCAGCAGATATGTATTGATCCCTTTTACAGTGCAGAAAGTGCTGTATGATAAAGTAGAATAGCTTGTCCTCCTTCAGTGCCACAAGGGTTTTGGGTGGAGAATGTACACCTTCCGGTAGCAAAGAGGGAAACCGAGAGCCACAGTGAGGTGGATTTTTACAAAGGTGCTCCACGGAATGGCCAGACACTATCGGCATCTCCCTTTGCAGGCGACTGTTCTGGCCTCTCTACCCCTCCCATCCTTCCCCTGGAGTATTCCCTAGGGGAAGTTCAACAAGTCAGCCAAATGTTCCAGATGTACACTGCTGCAACTGCAGCAACTTCAACAGCTGCACCAATCAGAAACGGGTTCAGGGCAAAAAATGAGTGGCAAATGTCAGAACAATAGAACCTAAAATGAAGGATGGAAAGAACTAGTTAAGCCAAGTCACAGTGGATACGAGCTACTAGTCGCACACTGTGGAGAGTGAAATAACTAGCAAGAGGAATCAACTGCACCTTTTTGAGCCACCACACTCTCAGGCCCCTGTTTGCAGGAAATGAACAGTTTTATTGGCTTGAAGCAGACATCTTGAGTGCCACCAAGGAGGCTCAGTGATACCAGGAAGGCTCATGGGCAGGCCTAAGCCCAAGGCTGGTGAAGGGCAAGAAAAACACCAAGGGAAATAGAAAAGAAGACAAAAGAAGAGAAACAAAACAAAACTAAAAGCATATGGTGGGGCGGTCAGTCCAGAGAGCACAGAGGTTGAGAGCCTTAAGCATATTAGCCACACACAACTTTGCTTCCACAACCTTTGGGAATTGTCTCAGTGCTTCAAAAACATATTTTTGTCCTCTCTTTAACCTTTACCCATGACATAGAAAATTTGCAAAGAATATCCTCATCATTCAGATGGGAGGGGGATTTAACAGCTGCTCTCAAGTCCTGCTTGTCCAGACCAGGAATTCTAGATGCTAGGAAAACTGCCAGGCTGATTTACTTAATTATCACAGCCCAGGATTATTGGAAAGAATGCTAGACCAGGAGTCAGAAGATCTGACTGCCACTAGTATACTGGGTCACTCTTAGCAAGTCGCTTTCTTTCTCTCTCTTTTTCTTTCTGTTTCTTTCCTTATTTCTATTTTTTTTCTTTCTCACATACTGGGGATTAGAACCAAGGCCTTCGCATTGAGCTAAATCCCTAGTTACCTCTTTTTAAAAAGTATGTTTTGCTTTGAGACAAAGTGCTAAATTGTCCAGGCTGGGCTTGAACTTGCAGTCCTCCTGCTTCAGCCTCCTGAAATGCTGGGATGACCCGTTTGTGCCATCAGTATCAACTAAGTCACCATACTGGGAGGGACTTAATATTTTCAACTGTAAGAAAAAAGTTTGAACTATAACAGCTACTACTTCCACATTTCATTTGTCTTTTTTTCAGAACCGGGGATTGAACTCTTGTGCTTGCCAGGCAAGCGCTTATTCTACTGAGCCATCTCCCCAACCCCATTTTATTTGTCTTATCCCTGGTTATATTGACTTCATGGTGTGCACAGTTTAAAAAGTCTGGGCCTCTCTCTGAACTGAAAAGGGAATACACGACAGCCATCTCCTGAAGGCTGTGGAGATGATGCCCAGGGGCCATAATGATCTCACTTTACTTTGTTTGTAGTTGTCAGGTTTTTAATAGCTCAACTGAGACCCTGGGTTGCACCTTTGTCCTCAGGAGCCTTGGTAATTGCATTTGACCCAAGACCTCATTTTTGTTCCCCGGAGGAAATCTATACATATATGTAGAATCGCAGCAGCAGAGTCTGGTGTGGAATGTCTATGCTTCTCCCCACCCCACCCCACCCCCACACTAGGCTGGAGATAGACCCCAGGGCAAGCACTCTCACTGAGCTCCACCCACCAGCCTGTGGTTATTCTTTTAAGTGTTTAAGTGTTTCAAAGCATTGCTTCAGTTAGCTTCTATAAATGCCCTATCCTCTGCAGCACAGGTCTCAAAACTAGCCTGCAGGCCACATTCAGAAAACAGGTGTGTACAATGTGGTATTTGCTAAAACTTTGAATTTTAAAAATCAATTGCATTTAGAAATTTGAAGATTTTACACTTTAAGTAATGTAATTTCCAGCTTTTCTGTTTAAAAAAAGACCTGTTAACACTGAATCCATATTCCCATAATATGTATATTCAACTAAAACTGCCTCCTTGAGATATGAACAATAAATTATGCGGCCTTTCCTACCTCTTTCCTCTGGTCTCTAGTATTGTCCCTAGGCCAGGGAGATGGCTCAGTGGAATAAGTGCTTCCCTGGCAAGCGCAAGGGCCTGAGTTCAATCCCCAGTTTCGCAAAAAAAAAAAAAATGAGGTTCTAGTATTGTCCCTGTCACCTTACCTGTGTGACCCTAGGTAATAAACCATGACTTACAAACTACCTCTCCAACATCTCCCACCACACTATAAAAAAGCCACGCTCCCACACTACTTACTGACACTTCTCATTCTTCAGGGCATTTGTACAAGCTAGTGTCTGTCAGAAATCCTCCCACCTCGAGGGCCTGCCCCTTAGCTCAGTTCTAGGGGCTGGGGAGATGGCTCAGTAGAATAAGCGCGTCCCTGGCAAGAACAAAGGGCCTGAGTTCAATCCCTGGTTCCACAAAAAAAAAAGAAAGAAATCCTCCCACCTCAAAAATTCTTTAAGAATCAATCACATGCTCTCCTTGATATGACCCTACAACTCCAAACAGATTTTCCTTTGTGCTTTCCTCGTACCCTGAATATACCTCAGTGATACTATTTACCACATATTTGGAATTTTTCCTGTGCTTTTCTCTCCACTAAACAGAGAGTTGCTTGAAGATAAGAGCCATGCTTTGCATTTTGGTATTCCCAAAGATTAGCATCGCACCTAGCAGATAGGAGGCACCCGAACTGTTTGTCAAATGACTAGGGCATGAAGTCAGCGACAGGAACTCCAACTACCCAGAATTCCAGAACAGGAATGGAGCTGAAGGATGCCTTTCACTAGCTCTTAGGAAACACCTCCTGGACACAGACCAGTGTAAAACATAATGGTGGGCCGGGGAGATAGCTCAGTGGAATAAGTGCTTGCCTGGCGAGTGCAAGATCCTGAGTTCCATCTCTAGTACCACCAAAATAGATAAATAAATAAAACATTATGGAAAGATACAAAGGAAATCAAACCAAATGATCATTGTGCAATTACTCTTTTATTTGTGTTACTGTGAGAGTTGCTGATAATTCAGAAAAATAAATAAAGCAAATTCAAATATAATTGGTTTATAGCACTTCATTTGGCTTTTTTCTCCCGGTTTCCTTTTGTACTTTTGTTGGTTATTATTTTTGCTGTGCTTTTTCATATGATGAGATCTTACTTTTTTTTTTTTTTTTTTTTTGGCAGAACTGGGGATTGAACTCAGGCCCTTGCGCTTGCCCGGCAAGCACTTATTCTACTGAGCCATCTTCCTAGCCCCAAAAGTCTCCCTTTTTGTCTCCTTTTGCTCCTGCTACTTTTATTTTCTTCCACTGCCACTGATACAGAGGTCTCCAAATGATATAGGTGAAAAATGAAACTCCCAACCTGAAAGGTACATGGGACAAGTTTGTGTTCTCTAAAACCAAAGGATGAATTTTAGGAACAAACGGAGGTTATGAGCAGAATATATTTCTTGGGGGAAAGAAAGCTCCTGTCCTAGAGAGGGACAGAATAGTGGCCCGATCGAGTTGTCCCTGGGAAGTTGTCTCTTTTAAGGACTTTTGTAGAGGAAAACCATGCATGCCTAAGGTGGAGAACATGGGAACTCAGGTGGGCATGAGGTGGGACAAAACTATGGTCAACCAATGAGATTACAAGTACTACTGCTCAGGTAAAACTGATTAAATCCAGTACCAAATAGGAGAGCAAGTCATGTAGCAACCAGGCATGAATGCAGGACAGGGTCTCTTCCGGTTGGGGATTGAGTTAGTGACTCATTTGGGCTCTTTCAAGATGATGGATACCTATTTAGAATATCAATCCCAGGGGGCCTGGGAGGTGGCTCAGTAGAATAGGTGCTTGTCTGGCAAGCATAAGATCCTGAGTTCAATCCCCGGTTCTGCAAAAGAAAAGAAAAAAAAAAAATCAGTCCCCGATGCCCATTCCTAGGGAAGTATGTGGCTACATTTGTTTACTCTTTTGTCTTGAGGTTTGGCCCATAGCGGAGAGTATCTGTCTCTTTCAAGTTGCAAAGTCATCTTGCCTTTTCCATTGCCTCCTTCAGGGCCTGGCCCTGTCTCACTGCCTATAATATTTTTATGTAATTCAGCTGCCTACAACACC